CCGGGCTCATGGCCTGGAGCAGCAGCTTTCATCGATCGCGGCCGCGGCCACGCGGGCCGCCGAGCGCGCCTGCGCGGGCGACCGGGTGTGGATCCTCAGCGACGAGGAGGGATTCGTCAGCGAGCTCCAGCACCGCGCCTCCGGGCTCATGATGATGAAAGGGATCCCCGGCGGAGAGGACCTGGAGCTGGACGACGCCGTCTCCGCGGGAGACGTGGTCCTTGCGGGCACGCAGGACAACGCCACCGAGCGGCAGGGGGCGCTGCTCGACGGTCTCGCCGAGCGCGGCGTGGCCGTCACCCTGATCGGCTCCGCCCACTCGCCGCTCCGTCCGAAGGCGGCCGCGTTCGTCGACACCGGGCTGCCGGCGGGCAGCGCGCCGGTGCTGCCCTACGGCGATGCGACCGTCTGCCCCCTGGCCAGCGTCCTCAACATCTCCGCCGGGTGGCTCTGGAGCATCGAGCTGGCCAACGCCTGCGCGTCGCTCGGCAAGGCGCCGGTGTTCCTGATGAGTGGTGGCCTCGCCACCGGCAGGGACCGCAACCAGCAGCACGAAGGCAAGGCCTTCCACGACCCCGGCGAGTACACGATCGTCCCGTCGCCGGCGGGTCAGAAGGGGCGCGAGCTGCTGTCCGAGTGGCTCCGCTGCCTGGTCGGCATCCGCGCGACCGAGCTGGGCCGGATCGCCGAGATCGGCGCCGTCGCCGCCGCCACCCGCGCGGCCGGGCACTCGGTCTGGTGCGCCTCGATCGGCCACAACCTGCACGCCCAGCGCGGTCTGGCGGGCGACCCCGGCTTCTTCCGGCTGATCTTCCCCGAGCGGGGCGAGAAGGCCGACCTGCAGGCAGGCGACTTCTTCATCTTCAACGGCTACTACACCTTCCCGGACGACGAGCTACCCGCCGCCCGCGCGACCGTGGAGCGGTCGGCATGGATCCTGGGCGGCAAGGAGATCGAGACCATCTACCCCCACCCCGGCGAGATACACGTCAACGCCTACTGGCGCTACGGCGACGCCAGCATCAACCTGCCGGGCTACGACGTCCGGGTCGTGCCTCCGTCCGGCGTGCTGACCACGGCCATGCTCTGGCTCCTGCACGCCGCGGCCGCCGACCACATCCCCGCCTGAGGCGCCGGCGCGCCGATGGAGCCGATCGCCCATATCGACGTCGCCGAAGAGTCCCGGATCGAGGCGTTGCTGGCCGCGCCCGGCAACCACTCCTGGCCGGCGATCGACAGCGAGTCGATGGACGGCTGGGTCCCCGACCTGGGGCTGACCGGCTACGCCAACTACAGCATCTATCGACCGCCCGCGGTGGCGGCGGCCGGCATCACGACCACCGTCCGCCACCGCTTCCGCGTGCCGCCCCGCAACCCGAAGCTGCCCGGCACCTACTACCTGGGAGCCCTTATCTACGATCAGGCAGGCGAGGAGTTCCCGCTGGAGCTCAGCCTGGGCTCCGAGGAGGTGGGACGGGTGGAGCCGCGGCGCCACGACAACCGCCGCCACCTCATCGTCATCGACCGGCCGATCGTCTTCGACGACCGGGTCAAGTGGATCCAGTTCGCGAGCGCGGGGCGCGGAGCGTGCCGGATCGAGCGCTTCGTGCTGCTCGCGCAGGCGCCCGAGCCCAGCTCGTTCGCGCCGGCCATCGAGCGCCTGCACGTGGAGGTCGACGCCTCCGGCGATGCCGCTGCCGCCACCGTCCACTGCCTGACCTTCCCGCCGTCGTCGGTCGCCGTGTCCGTCCGTGACGAGACCGGGGCAACGGTGACGGAGTCCGCCCCGGACGGTCCGTCCACCCTGCATGCGATCGCGCTTCCCGAGCTTCCGCTCGACCGGACCTGCACCGCACGGCTGGTGGCGACCGAGCAGGACGGTCAGACCACCGAGTCGGCCTGCGAGTTCAGCACGCGCCGGCCCGAGCCGGATGCGCCGAACGCGGAGACCCGAGTCGAGGCCGACGTGGAGCTGTGCGACACCGGCGGCGGCTCGTCCCTGGGCGGGCTGCCGCTCACCTTCGGCGTGCCCGTGCGGCGCGGCGCGCTCCCGTCGGCCGGCGACGCCCGGCTCGTGTGGGGCGACGGCGCTGACGACACCTTGCCGGCTCAGACGCGCATCCACAGCCGCTGGCCCGACGGCTCGGCCCGCTGGGTGCTGGTCGACGCCGCCGTGCCTCCCTCGCTCCAGCCCGGCGGCCGCGCGGACTGCCATGTCCTGCTGAGCGCCGCGGAAGCATCGCTCCCAGACGGAGCGCTCCGCGTCGAGCAACACGACGACGACACCGTCGTCGTGGCGAGCCGGACACTGCGGGTGTCGGTGCAGCCGCGTGCCGAGCACTGGATCCTCGTCGAGCCGCCGGCCGGCGACTCCCGGCTCGCCGGGGGCCCCCTGACCCGGGCGCTGCGCGTGGAATTGGCCGACGGCACGCTGCTCGAGGCCGCCGCGAGCTCGGCATCCGTCGAGCACGCCGGACCACTGCGCACCACGGTGCGCTGCGACGCGCTCCACCGGGACGCGGCCGGACACGCTCGCCTGTGCAGCGAGCTCCGTATACACGTCTACGCGGAGCAGCCGTTCGTGAAGATTGACCACCGGCTGGTGGTGCTGTGCGCGGATCCGGGCGCCGATCCCGTGTTCGAGCCCGGCGTGGACGAGGAGCGCGCCCTGCTGGGCGTCCGCTCCTGCGTGCTGGAGGTCCCGCTCGCGGCCGCCGCCGTGGAGCTGGCCGGCGAGCGGTTCGAAATCTCGGGCGACCACCCCTGGACCCTGCGCCACGAGCACGACCTGGCCCATGAGATCATCACCGCCGCCGGGCGGCAGCGCCGCGATGGACGCACTGCCGGCCACGCCCGCGTGAGCTCGGCCACCGGCCACACGCTCGTCGCCGGCATCCGCAACTTCTGGCAGAACTATCCCAAAGGCATCACCGTCAGCGGCGACGCCATCCCGTCTGGAACTGCTGCCGAAGCTCTCCGGCGAGGAGCTGCCCGGCGACGACGAGGCGTGGCAGCGGCTCTACCGCTGGCTGCAGGACGGACGCTACCTGCTGCGCGAGGGCATGGCGCTGACCACGGAGCTGCTGCTCGGCCTGCCGCCGGACGGGCGGACCGCGGCGCCACCGCGCCCCTGTTCGACTGGCTGGAGGCGCCGGTCGCGGCACGGCCGGCGTCGCCTACGCCAACGCGACCGGGGCGCTGCCTCGACTCGCCGCCAAGGACGACTCACCGCAGCCGCGCTACGAGCGGTTCGCCGCCGAGGCGCTGCGCTGTTCCACGAGGACCGCGAGCGCTGGCGCGCCTACGGTCACATGAACTTCGGCGACTGGTACGGCGAGGGCGACTGGAGCTGGGGCAACAACGAGTACGACACGCCCTATTGCGCCTACTGGGAATTCCTGCGCGGCGGCGACCCAGGCTGGGCCGCGTGGGGAGCGAGGCGGCGCGGCATCTAGCCGACGTCGACACCGTCAACGCCTTCCACGATCCACTCCACGTGGGGCTGCAGCCGATGCACATGCCCGCCCACCTGGGCGGCTACCTGCCGCCCTACTTCCGCAGCAAGGTCCTCGGCACGCGCGGCATCCCCTCGCACATGTGGGCCGAGGGCCCGCTGCTGCACTTCCTGCTGACCGGCGACGAGGCGGTCCGCGACTCGCTGCTGCGATCCGCCGGCTGGCTCCTACAACCCGAGCGGCTGGACCACTACGAGTTCAGCGCCGTGCGCGAGGCCGGCTGGCACCTCATCCACCTGACCATGCTGGCCTCGGCCACCGGCGACCGCCGTGCCGCCAACGGCGCCGCCGTCGTCGTCCGCCGCATCCTGGAGAAGCAGGACGCCACCGGCGGCTGGACCCGGATGCTCACCTCCGGCCACTGCTGGTGCGGCTACCCACACTGCCGCGGCAACATCGCCTTCATGGTCACCGTCCTGCTGTCGGGGCTGAAGCGCTACTACGACCTCACGCAGGAGGAGCAAGTGGCCGGCGCCATCCTCGCCGGCGGACGCTGGCTGGTCCGCGAGACCTTCCATGACAAGACCGGCCACTTCATCGGCGGAAGCTGCAAGACCATGCAGCGCATCGCGGAAGGCGAGGTCTTCGGCACCCAGATCATCATCGAAGGTGTGGCCGACGCGTTCGCCGTCTCCGGTGACCCCGAGATCGGCCGCTGCCTGCAACGTGCCCTGCCCGCGATCGGCGTCATGCCCGACCTGGAAGGACACCGCGACCTCGGCAAGCGCCTCTCCAGCCAGATGCGCTACGTCCCCACCGTCCTCGCCGCGCTCGAGGAGTCCCGCACCGCCGACTCGTAGTAGGACTCGCCGTCCTGGCGACATCCTGTACGTGTCAGCGGTATGTCACAATCCGAGGCGCACCTGGACTTCGTCGGCGGTGACGACACGACCTGCTTCCACGTCGCGCTCGCCTTCTTCAATCGCTTGCGCTTCCTCGTCCGTCACCGACTCATCGTCGATGGGCGCACTCGCAAGAGCCGTCTCCACGGCGCTGGACCCTGACAAGGCCGACAACCCTTCCAACACGCGCTTTACGGTTTCCAAGTCGCTCTCCGGCAAGTCGTTCACCAACTGGTGAATCTGTTCCTTGGTGGTCATTCGCCGCCTATCGTACAGGAGTACAAGTGCGCTTCCATACGGTAACGCCTCGCTGACGATGCCGGCCGCTCCCTCGGGCTCGGCTATCGATGCAGACCGCCGGCGTGCAGGTCCATCGCCAGGCTCCGGAAGTCGCGCACCCGATGGATCGTGCACAGGTCGGCGTCGTGCTGGTCGCGCGAGTCGCGGCTGGTGCGCGACAGCAGCACCAGATCGTCGCCGTCGACCACCGCGCTCGGATACATGAAGCTGCGGTGCACGTCGTCCGGCGCAGCGGGCGACGCAGCCGGCCGGGAACCAGCTCAGGCAGTCGATGCTGTAATGCAGGAACAGCCAGCGCCGCTCGCCGGCCGAGCGGCGGTAGCGTGCCTGCTCCATCCTCTCACCCCAGCCCAGGTAGTCGCGCGAGTTGGTGACCAGGTTGCCGAGCATCCAGTACATGCCGGACGGCCGGTCGTGGATGATGAAGAACTTGCACTGCCCGCCCGGCCACGGCACGAACTGATCGAACCGCAGCCGGCCGGCCGCGGCGTCGTACTCCAGCGCGGCGGCCACGTGCGCCATGCCCTGCGACCGGATCGTACAGCGGACGAACACGCGAATGTGATCGGCAACCTCCACGGTGTTGGGCTCCAGCCAGGCGAACGGCCGCGTCCTGGCACCCGGCACGGCGCCCGCTGTCGCATCCCCGTGAAGTGCGCTGCCGATGAGAGCCTGCGGCATCTCGGGAGCCGCCAGCACTCCAGACATGCTCCACCCGCCGGGGTCGAAGGGCGAGCTGCGGCGGTCGAACCGGACCATCACCTTGCCGGCGTACATGCCGTCCGGCAGGTCGTAGTCCATCGCCCACAGCAGCTCCCCGTCACGCTCCAGCATCGCGGTCGAGATGTTCCAGAGCGGTCCGCGCAGGAGGCAGACCGGATCGCTCCAGCTCCGCCCGCCGTCGTCGCTGCCCACCAGCAGGAAGTCCCGATGGGACTCTTCCTGCACGAACATCAGGAGCCGGCCATCCAGGACGAACGGACGCCCCTCCTCGTAGGGCAGCGCAGGAGCCTCGTCCCAGGTCGCGCCGCCGTCGTCACTCACCAGGATGCGGAGGTGCCGGGTTGCCTGCGTCCGGCGTCTCGCGCCCTCCCCCACTGCGGCGCGGCGATGATCAGCCTGCCATCCGGCAGGCGGGCCAGGTTGGGGTCGTGAAAGAAGAAGCGGGTGTGATCCGGCACCTGCGCGGCGATCACGTGCTCCTGTGCCAGCGGCTCGACGTTGGGGTTGCCGCGGCTCCGGCGTTCGCTCGACGGTGGCATCCTCGCCTCCTCGGGCCATTATGTCTGCTCGCCGCCTTCGCGGCACCGCGCTACCCTGCCAGAGATGAGCGCCGACCGACCGAACATCCTGTTCCTGATGACCGACCAGATGCAGGGGCGCGTGCTGGATCCCGGCAATCCCTGCCTGACCCCGCACTTCGACCGCCTTGCGGCGCGCGGGCGTGCGCTTCCCGCGCGCATACACGCCCAACGCGGTCTGCTCGCCCGCGCGGGCCAGCCTGATGACCGGGCTGCTCCCCCACTCCCACGGCGTGCTGGAGGTCACCCACTGCGTGGACGACGACCAGTGCAATCTCCGCACGGAACATCCGCACTGGGCGCAGCGGCTGCAGGCGGGCGGCTACCGCACCGGCTACTTCGGCAAGTGGCACGTGGAGCGCAGCAACGACCTGCGCCGATTCGGCTGGGAGGTGGACGGCGGCTCCGCGAGCCCGCTGTTCCAGGAGCGGCAGCGGACAGCGGGCGCCGCCGCCAAGGACGCGGGCTCCTTCAGCCTGCGCAAGACCAACGACCACCCGCCTGGCTATGACCGTACGCTGCTCTACGGCGTCACCGACGCCCCCCGAGCAGCGGGAGTCGGCGTCACCACGGCGCTCGCCCGCGACTTCCTGCGCGACGCGAGTCGCCGGCGACGATCCGTGGTGCTGCTTCGTGAGCGTGACCGAGCCGCACGACCCGTTCGTCACCGGCGAGGCCGCCTACGCCCGCTACGACGTGGACGCCATCCCGCTGCAGCCCAACGTGCACCACGACCTGGCGCGTCAGCCGGGCATCTATCGCAAGGCGGGCAGGACCTGGCGCGACATGACCGACCGCCAGCGGCGCGAGGCCGCCGCCTGCTACTACGCGTCGATCACCGAGATCGACGCCCAGTTCGGGACTCTCATCGACTGGTCGACGCCGCCGGCCGGCTCGACGACACGCTCGTCGTGCTGACCAGCGACCACGGCGAGCTGCTCGGCTCGCACGGGCTGTACTGCAAGAACGTCGGCGGGTTCGAGGAGGTCTATCAGATCCCGCTGGTGATCTCAGGCCCAGGAGCCGGCGAGGGAGTCGTGAGCGAGGCGCGGGTCGGCCTGCACGACCTGGCGCCGACCCTGCTGGAGCTGGCCGGGCTGGAGCTGGCCGGGCTGGCGCCCATCGGCGCGCCGGACTCGCGATCGTTCGGGACGGTCCTCGCCGACGAGCGCCAAGCCGGCGAATACACGCGCGGGTTCGCCGAATACCACGGCGGCCGCTACCGGTTGACGCAACGGATCATCTGGGACGGCCCGTGGAAGCTGGTCTGGAACGGCTTCGACTTCGACGAGCTCTACCACCTCGACGACGATCCGTACGAGATGCACAACCTGATCGACGATCCCGGCCTTCAGGACCAGGTGACAGCCCTCATGCGCTACGCATGGCAGGTCGTCCGCGACACCGGCGACCGCGCGCTGTTCAACTCGCACTATCCTATTCTGCGCCTCGCCCCGGTAGGCCCGCAGATACTGGACGAGGAGACCCCGCCCAGGAGGCACCCATGAACGAGCGGCTTCTGCGTTATCGCAGCGGAGGTCCGGTCGACCTCGGCTACGGGCTCGGGACCGCGCCGCCGCTCATCCTGCGGCGCGGCGACCGCCTGGACCTGATGGTCGGCACCGACATCTGGACGATGGGCGGCCGGGACGACCGCGGGCTGCCGTGCTACGGACCGCCCGCCAACGCCGCGATCGACGAGAACCTGGGATGGTCGTCGGTGGAGCGGCGCGGGCAGCGGCGGGTGGCCGCGCTCAGGACCGCGGACGACGGCACGCCGCTGGAGTTGTGGTCGTTCGCCAGCGGCGACCTGCGCCGCTATCGCGTGTCGTACGACGCAGCCTGGACCTTCCGGCCGGCCGGGAGCGCATCGTTTCCCGCGCCCGAGGCCAGCAAGGGACTCGGCACGGTGCAGCTTCTTTCCGAGGGCGGCAGCACGACGGCTCCGCATCTGCTCCTCGGAGACAACGACTGGAGGCAGACGCAACCCGTGCCCGCGCAGTGGAACCCGGACCTGCCGTTCCCGGAGGACCTGCGCGTCCGCTATCTCGACGGCGTCTGGAGGGGACGAGACGTGACGGGCCGGGTCTACGTTGCCCGCAACGAGGGCGGGCCTGATCCGCGCTACCATCGACTGCAGACGGTCCACGCCGGCGACCCGGCATCGCCCGTGCTCGTGGACGGCCGCGCGTCCCCGCTGCTGGTACGACCCTTCGCCGACGGGGAAACGCATCTGTTCGTGGCCGACTTCCGCGGCGGTCTGTACGACTACCTGCTCGACGCGGCGGCGGTGGCAGCACAGGGGCCGGTGGCGACGCTGGAAGCAGGCAGACTCGAGCCCTGCGGCATCGCGACGCAGGACGGACGGCCCCTGGGCTTTCCCGGCTGCATCGCCAGCATCGGCGCGTACGACCTGACCGCAACGGGTACCCGGATCTGCTCTGCACGATGGAGGACGGCTACCTCTACGTGGCCGTCAACGACGGCGTCGCGTTCGCCCAGCCGGTCCGGCTGCGGCAGGAGCGCGACGTCATCAAGGCCGGCGTCCTGGCCGTCCCCACACCGGTGCGCTCGTCGACGGGCCGCCTGGACCTGTACTGCGGCAACGCCAGCGGCGAGATCCTCCACCTCCGCGACACCGCCACGGACGGCGCTCCGGAATTCGCACCGCCGACCGTCATCACGGCCGGCGGCAAGCCGTTTCGGCTCGTGGCCGGTCCCTCAGGCTCGGTGCAGGGGCCGGAGGAGCTGACCTGGGGGTACGTGGGCCCGACGGCGGCCGAGTGGTCGCAGCCGGGGGTGCCGGATCTGATCCTGGGCTGCATCACCGGCCAGTACTGGCTGCTTCCGGGGAAGCGAGGCGAGGCCGGGCTGCAGTGGCGTGAACCGGTGGCGATGACCTGCGAGGGCCGACCGTTCGTGGGCACGTGGCGCGTGCGTCCCAGCGTGGCCGACTGGAACGGCGACGGAGCGCCGGAGCTGCTCACCCTGGACGAGCATGGGTACCTCGCGCTGTACGCGCGCGATGCGGATGCGGGCCCGCAGGCGGTCCGCCCGCTCGGCCGGGTGCCCGCCGAGTCCGGCGACCCGCTGTACATCGGCGGTCCCAACCGCGTTCCCGGAGTTCACCTTCATCGGCCGTTCGAAGCTGTTCGCGTACGACTGGGACGGCGACGGACTCCTGGAGCTGCTGATCGGCACGCACTGCAAGCTCCTCCCCACCCACCGCGAGCTCTACCGGCTCACGCAGGAAGCGAACATCGGCGCCGGCGTGGTCCTGATCGACAACACCGGCACCCCCGAAGCGCCGGTGTGGGGACCGGCCTCGGCGGTGGTCGACAAGACGGGCGCCCGCTGCTGTTCGGATGCCACAGTTTGCGCGCCGATCGTCGTCGACTGGAACGGCTCCCCGACCATGATCGTCGGGGACCGAGGACGGCTTCCTGCACCGCTACGACATGGCCGAGCTGGGTCTGTCCCGCGACATCGTACCGCCGCTTGAGAGCAAGTCCTCGGATCCGCCGTAAGCCTGCGCCGACGGGCTATGACGCTGCAGGCACCTCGGCGACGTACACCTGCGCGAAGCCGCCGCGGTCGCTGGTGAACACCACTTGGCGGCCGTCCGGGGAGAAGGCCGGGTGCGGGTGGGTGTGCTGCGGGGCGTACACGGTCGTGGGGCCGTCGTCGTACGGGCAGTGGTCGGTGTCCCAGTGCGCGCCCTCGTTGCTGGCTTCGGACGCGCACAGCGGCTGCGGCTCGCCCACCCCGTCGGCGGCGTCGAACAGCATCAGCCCGTTGTCCGGGAAGGTGGTGTCGCTCACCAGCCTCGATCCGTCGCGGCTGATGGCGGCGTGCCAGGCGTTGAAGGAACAGACGCGGCGCACCTCACGGGTGTCCACGTCGATGCCGATCATGCCGTGCGGCCACTGGGTGGTGACGATCTCCCGTGTGCCCGGGCGCCACGTCTCGTGCACGATCCACTCCTTGGCGGCGGCGTCCCGTTCGTAGGCCAGCCGGTTCTCGCTGCCGTCCCGCCGCGCCACCCAGATGCGCGCATGGTAGGAGCCCGCGTAGCGGAACCAGTCGGCGTCGTCGGGATGGAACTCCGGGTGGCCGATACCGTCCGCCTCCAGCACGTACTCGGCGGCGCCGCTGCCCGTATCGACCACCAGCATGCGAGAGCGCTCTCCGAAGCGCACCGGCACCGCCCACCAGCGGTCGTCATGGCTGACCGTGGTGGTCCCCATGGCCGCTCCGACGTGGCCGTCGATCCTGGTGCGGCCGTCGTCGAACGAGAAGAGCTGCTCCTCCCGACGCGAGGCCACCTCGACCCGCCAGCCGCCGCTGACGTCGGTGAAGTACACGTGGCGGCCGTCGTGCGAGGGGTGGACGGACCACTCCACCAGACCCTCGTGCTCGGTGAGCTGCACCAGCGTCCCGTCCTCCTGCAGCTCCACGAAGATCTCCGCCCGTCCGCTGCGGTGCGAGACGAACACCAAGTGCCGCATGGCGTCGTCCATCGCCGGCAGGTAGTAGAACGGGTGATGACTGATCGACGGGTGGTCGGTGACCTGGCGGACGCGCACACCCGTGTTCCGATCGGTCCGCGTGCTTCCCTCCGGCGGGTATTCCATGCTCTTCACGCGGCGAAGTCTGTCGGATGCACCCCGAGAGCCGCAAGTACGGCAGATCCAGAGTTCCCGGCTACGTGGTCCGTTGCACCGCCCGCTCGACCGTCTCGGCCAGCCAGGCGTTGAGACTCTTCCCTTCCGTACGAGCCGCCGCCGTGGCTGCCCGGTGCACCGCCGCGCTGACTCGGAGGGGGATTCGACCGGAGAACGGCTTGTCAGGCGTGCGGCCTCGTTCAGCACAGACCGTCAGGTACTCATCGACGGAGTCAGCGAACGCTTGTCGCAGCTCCATGACGGACTCCCCCTGAAAGGTGATTACGTCGAGCGTGTCGATTACCTCGCCGTGGAAGATTCCGGCGTCGTCGTCGAAGGTCACCGCCGCCCGGTATCCGTGATACTCCATCATGGCTTCTGCCCCTCCTCGTGACCTGGGCGGACCCCGGCTGCCATCAGGACCACCTATGCTTGAATCCGCACCAGCCCCGGTGCAACGCGGAACCTGCGATTCTCCAACGACAACCGGCCTTCGCTGACCCACCGTCGCCTCTCGAAACGACCGGCCTCCACCGCGACCGAGCCGCTTCCCGCGATGCCGATGGAAGCCCCACCCGTTCCGACGATCGATCCCTCGGCTTGCCGGTATGACAAAGCCAGCCTGACTACCGGCGATGTTCAGCTTCACTCCCCCGACGGTGATGTCGAACGGCCCATCGCTTACGGTCCTCACCGCACTCCCTTCCATCAACACCGTGCCCTTCCCGCCATAGGAAACGGGCTCCTCCAGCTCCACCCGGTTGCCGAAGATGTCGATCTCCGTGTCGACTTCCATGTTCGCGCTCTGCGAATACCAAACGATCAGCCGTTTGCGATTCCGAGCCTCGATCAGAGGAATCATCGCGTTCTTGATAGGGTACAGCGCACGCTTGAACCTCGCGAATGCCGCGTTATCGTTTACGACCGTGTCCGGATCCGGCGCCTCCCACAGCAAGTTTCCCAGGCCGCCCATCTTCAGCACCGTATAATACGGCAACATGGGCAGGTAGTGTTTTGTGGGGATCGCTTCCGTCGGCGACTCCGCGGCGAAGGCCAGATTCCTCCCACGCTGACCTACCGTCAGATGATTCGGCTCGACGACGCTGTATACGCCGTCGATTCCGACGAAGTCGAGATTCGGGCACCCGTTCAGGAATACGTCGATTATATACGGCGCCCACCACGGGCTGTTGACATAGACAGGCAGTGGATAGATCGCCTTGAAGGCATCCGTGAGCGTCCTGGTATACTCCGCGAAGCTGGTGAACATGAACTCCTCGGCCGTGGAGTATCTTCCCGCATCGTACTTCGCCGCACAGAACTCGCAGACACAGCGCACGTGCTTCTGGGTATTGTCCTTGCACTCTGCCCATTGCTGGTAGAAATACTCGTTGTTGAGCTGCACCATGATCACGGTACGATTGCGGTCCGACTCTCTCAGGTGCATCGCCACCCGCCGCAGATATCTCGCTTCGCGGTCCAGTGTCGCGGGATCGTTCGGGCACAACGGAGGACCGCCCGGGTGGTACTCGATGTCTACGTTGTGAACTATGCGCCCGAATTCTGCGGGATCGTTCTTGATGTAGTCCGGAGTGTACTGCGGATACCGTTCCCCTTCAGTCAGCTCCTCGCACTTCCCGCAGACGTTGCTGTTGAACAGATTCACGACCAGCTTGAGCCCGGCCGCCTCCGTGCGCTCGATGAACCAGTCCAGGAACGAGAAGTCGTACCGGTCCCTTTCGCTCTCCATCTTGGCCCAAGGGACACCGAAACTGATCGCCGTGGCATTCATGTCACGATAGGCCTCGATGAACTCCACGACCCTTTGGTCCTGTCGCGTGCTGCGCCAGATGTCGCACTGTGCCCCAAGAATGGCGAACGGTTCACCGTCGACCACGAGCGTGCGCACACCTCCGATGTCTCTGATCGACGGAATCATCACTCACCCTCCACATATTCCATGACGATGCTGTCACGGTCACCGATACACAGATTGGTCGTCCCTGCCATCTCGCCTTCTGGCAGCTCCATCATCCTGTATACATCGTTGCCGCCCTTCTCGTCCCACGGGGCCGCGTGCGGGATCGCCCACTGATTGTTGAAAAAATGGTGGACGCCGAGCCCACCCGGAAGGGGACTGAGCCGGATGCTCTCATCGCCCCGCCCCACAGAACACACCGTCCTTCCTCTCTCGGTGAGCTGCAGCTCCGAATACAGGAGATTGTGTTTGCTGCCACGGAAGTCGTTGGTTCCCCGGCCTCCGGCGTCCATTCGGCCGTACAGGTAGAAGTCGATCTCATCCTCTGACCACGGCCACTCCGGCTGTTGGCCGTAGACACGTCGATCCGGCGGGTATCTGCGTGCCGTCCCCTCGTCGCGCCCGATGTGATCCGCGGGATGGCAGCTCCAGCGGCCGTCCCGCCTGAAGAGGTGACTGTCCGCGCTGTCGTCGACACGATAGCCGATGCCGATCTCGCTGGCGCCATCCGCACGGTCACCCACGCGGTACCGCGTCCGTATCAACCCCGCGGCGTACACCTCGACCTCGATCGTGCACGCTGGCACGTACTCGTTCTCGAACCCGCCTCGATTGCCACGACCACGAACCGGTCGCCTCTGCTTGCGGTGACTCGGTGGGTGTGCAGCCGGGCCATACCGGCGATCCCCCAGTTGAGGTAGGGACCGCCACACAGCACCCGTTCCCCTTTCCAGTACGCGGCCCCCAGATCGCCGGTGGAGCGATCGAAACGGCACAGGAGATCGCCCGTCGAAACGTCAATGGACACGGGAGTCGCCTCCACGGACGGCGCATCCGCGTTGTACACGGATTCCCGGTATCGGTACCGCGGCTTGCCCAACGCGAACCGAAACGCCTCCTCGACGGAGTCGCCCTGAAAGCTTACCTCGATCTGGTCTCCCAACCTCCAGTTTCGACCCGGAATCGACAGACACCCGACCCCGAACGGTGGGAGTTCCGACTCCAGCTCCTCAAGCCTCCCCTCGTTCACGTTTACCTGTATCGATAGCGAGTCAAACCCGGTGTGCAGCAAACGATTCTCGAAGTCGATCTGCAGCGGCTCGCCGTCGTCCGGGCATCTCAGGTACTTGCTTCCACGGGAGACTATCGGGGAGTAGGCCTTCTTCATGTTGTAGTATTCGGGCTTTTCCCTGCCCCAGGAATCCAGAATGCCCCAGCAGCATCCGTTGCCGGAAAATCGCTGGCACGCCTCCTGCTGTGTGTCCACGCCGTTCCAGATGGCTCCGCCCAAAGCGCCTTCCGAACGATATATCTTGTCCCAGTATGCCTGCAACTGGACACCGAAGTGATCCCTCACACCCGGATCGAATCTCACCTGCGCAGGGTTGTCTCCTTTGCCGTCCAGCAGATGGCAATACTCATCGTAGATAGCCGGCTTGTTCCTCCCACCCATTTTCTCATGAATGGACGGGTAGTGGACGCTGTACAGGTCTACGACATCGGTACCCCAGCTCACCTTGACCGGCCGGGACGGATCCGCCTTCCTCACATACTCGTACATGAGCTGAAAGTGATCGTCCCACTCGCACTCGTTTCCGATGGACCAGAAAACGATCGAGGGGTGGCTCTTGTCGCGTTCGATCATCTCCCTCAGGGGCGCGAGAAATCGTTCTTTCCGCCCAGCGTCCCTACGGCGAGCTCGAACGCTCCATACCGCGGAGTGCTCGGACTCGACATAGAACCCGAGCTTGTCACAGAGATCGTAAAAGTGAGCGGTCCGCGGAAAATGCGCCGTGCGTATGTAGTTCACGTTCCCCGCCTTCATCGCCCGCAGATACCGCTCTTCGACTTCCTCCGGAACGTACAGGCCACTCAACGCGTAGTAGGCCAGGAAGTTGACGCCTCTCAACTTCACCCGCTGCCCGTTGACGTACATCTCGTTGCCCTGGATTTCCACCTTCCTGAACCCGACCGATCTCTCTATCGTCTCCATCTCGACCCCACCGACGATCAACGCTGCCCTCAGGACATAGAGAAATGGCGTCTCGGCCGTCCACTGTCGAGGGCTGTTGACCCACAGGGACGCCGTGTGCCGCCCGCCGCCATCGGTGAGATCGATCTGACGGTCCTCCGATACCCGGCAGCCGTCGACGTCGCGCACGGCGATCGATACTGCTCCTTCCTGTCGCGGGAACACGCCGCGGACGCATATCGTCAGTCGCGCGTGCCGATAGTCCGCATCGAAATCCGTCTCGTAATGGAGGGACGATAGGTAGTAATCGGGGAGCGCCAGCAGCGCGATCTTGCCTATGATGCCATATAGTTGATAAACTCCGTTTCGTGTGCACCGCTCTCGTTTTCCAGGTGCAAGGCCAGATCGTGCGTCTGTCCCGGCAATGCCCGGTTCGTCAACTCGCAGTCCCACTCGGTGTGACCGCCGACATGCGTCTTGATCAACTCCCCATCGAACCACACTTCCGTCTTCGCGGCGGCCTTTTCGATTTTAAGGAAGATGCGCTTGCCTTCGAAGCACTCCGGTATTGCGATCTTCCGGTGGTACGCACACCGGATGGAGCCGCACGACCAGTCCTGACTGTCGAACGCACCGCCATACTGTTCGATGGGCACGATCACCCGCATACCTTGTGAATCCAGATTCCCGGGAACCAACACCCGTGCGACCGCCCCCTCGGTGTTCCCCGTCTTGCACAACCGCTTCGGTGCGTCGCTCGTGAAGTTCCACATGCCGCCCAAACTCACCTCGAAATTCCGGCACCCGGTCACCGACTCAGGCACCGGAATCACGGTAACAGCACCTTCCCCCTCGACTCCGTTCCCGCCCACGTCATGCACCACCGGCTGCCATCATCCCTTCACCGACCCCAGCACCAGACCCTTGACGAAGTACCGCTGCAGAAAGGGATACACCAGCATCATGGGAATCATCGACACGATGATCTTGGCGTTGTTCAGTGTCTTCGAAGAGGTCTGCGACATCCTCTTGATCTCTTCGACGGTGAGCCTGGTGAAGTCATGTTGCCCGAGCACGAGAGTCTGAATGTAGGTCTGCAACGGGTAGTTCCTCGGCGAATTCATGTAGATCAGACCGTCGAAGAACGCGTTCCAATGCCCCACCATCGAGAACAACGTGACCGTCGCGACCGATGGAACCGACAGCGGCAAGTAGATCTTCACGAGAATCGTGGCCTGCCGCGCCCCATCGACCGTCGCCGCCTCTTCCAGCTCCTTTCGGCACCTGCCTGAAGAAGTTCATCATGATGATGACGCTGAATACCGGGACGGCCCCCGGCAGCACGAGAGCCCAGATGGTATCCATAATGCCAACCGCGTTCACGATCATGTAAATGGGAATCAACCCGCCACTGAAGAGCATCGTAACCAGCAGCAGGTAGATGTACACCTCACGTGCCCGAAAGACCGACCTTTCCTTCGAAAGCGGGTACGCCATGAGCAACGTGATCACGAAGTTGACAATTCCCCCCAGCACGACACGCTCTATCGAGATGAGAAACGATCGAAAGAACTGCCTGTCTTCAAGGATGATGCCGTACGACGTCAGGTTGATCTTGCGCGGTACAAGAAACACGGCCCCCGGCTCCACAATCGCCTTGTCGCTCAGCGAAAGAGCCAGCGAGTTCAAGATCGGAATCAAGCACAGCAGGCCCAGGCAGCCCACCAGGACCATGATGATCGCGTCCGCTGCCTTGTCGATTCGACTCGACGATGTGACCGCCACCGCAACTGGCCTTCAGATCAAAAGATGCGGTAGTTCGCGTACCGGGAGGCGAGCCTGTACGACAGCCAGATCAGAAAGAAACTGACTACGGACTTCAGCAGCCCGACAGCCGTACCGATACCGTACTGCCTCCCCACAAGGCCCACCCGATAGACGTACGTGTCGATGATATCACCGGTGGAATACACCAGCGGGTTGTACAGATTCAAGATCTGCTCGAATCCTGCATTGAGAATGTTCCCCAGGCTGAGCGTCATCATGAGAACGACGGTCGAAACGATGCCCGGCAGCGTAATCAGCATCAACTGCTGGAACCGTCTCGCGCCGTCGATCGAGGCCGATTCATAGAGGGCCGGATCGATCGCGGTCAGCGCGCCCAGATAGATCACCGTACCGAATCCGAAGGACTTCCACGCGTCGGTCAATACGATGATCGGCCTGAACCAGACATTGCTCGCGAGAAACAATATCGGTTCTACGTCGAATACTCTCAGCGCGTTGTTGACGAATCCGTCGTAAGAGAACGTGTTGCCGATCATCGCCGCAAACACAACCCAGGAGAGAAAGTGCGGAAGGTAGATCACCGTCTGCACGGCCCGCTTGTACCAACGCAGTCTGACCTCGTTCAACAGCAGTGCCGCTACCAGCGGAATGATCAGATTCACGACGATCTTCGCGACCGCGATGACGACGGTGTTGACGAATACCTGCTTGCTGTCCGGAATCTGGAACATGAACAGGATGTTGTCGAGCACCGACATCGCGCGACGAAGAGAAGAAGCCCTTCGCGGGCACGAACTTCTGGAACGCGATGACGATTCCGAACATCGGAATGACCGAGAACACCACAAGGAGCAGCGTCCCCGGCAGGAGCATCAAGTGGTAATCGAGATTGCTGCGCTTGGTTGTCAGGGCCGAACCGCGACGCCTCCCCGTCAGGAAGGCGCAGCCCAAGCAGCAGGAGAACGACGGGGAGCCGGCCGCGAACGCGAGGTGGCACACCGGGCCGGCCCTTTAAACCGGATTAAGTGCCCGCTGCGACGACCTCCTCCGTTATCTGGTCTCCGCCGATGCTCTTCCACTGCGCGACGAACTCGTCGAAGGCGTCGAAATCCGATTCGCCGGTGATGATCTGAGATAATTCGTCCTCGATCGTTCCAAGAGAGGGCCAGCGATTCCAAATCGTTGGATCTCTTTTTTAGTGATACGAAAAAGACGACCTCTCTCTCTGAGATGT